TGTTCAGCTGTCACAATCAGGCACCATATAACCGTTTTCTGTGTTTCTCTGGGATTCTACATACATTACAAATAAAGTTTTACAAGTACATGGAGCCTAAAATGTGTCCAATCAGAAGGAAGAAGTATTTCCATCTCTCTGCAACTAATATTTTATTTATATATATATATTATCTATATTTTTAATATTTTAGCTTTTATGAGAGATGAAATGGATTCCTCTGATCTGTTGGCATAATAAATCAAAGCTGGCAGACATTCTGGAGCCTTCTCTCCGGCTTCCTGCTGATTCTTGTAGCTGAAATTTCTAGAGCTCTTCTTTGAGCTTCAGGAAGGTGAGAAATCCATTTCTACATGGATGAGTTCTATTGACATCTCGGTGTCACTCCTGGCCTAGAAGCTGCTCTGTTCTTTCAGATGCTAATTGGTGACCATATGTCTCTGATGATTACTGAATACTATATCTCTAATAACACGGAATGAAACTAGATCTACAATCACATCCTTCTACAGATCACGTCACATCTCAGCTACTGGCAGTACTACCCGACTCTCACATTTATGTTACAAATATATTTCTACATCATTATCATATCTCCTCTGAAGGGTCTCGTCTCCAAGGAGAATACGTTTCATGTTTGTAGTCATTCCTCATAACTGAGGTCTTCCAGCCCCTTTATTAGCTTTGTTACCCTTCTCTGGACTCTCTCCAGTTCCAGCACATCCAACCTGAGGACTGGTGACCAGAACTGGACACCATACTCCAGATGTGTCCAAACCAGCATTTTGTAAAGTGGGAGAATTATCGTTTTATCTCTGGAGTAAATTCCCTTTTGAATTCATGCTGATATTCTGCTGGCCTTGCTTGCTGTGGCTTGGTATGCATGCTACTGCTGAGTCTGTGATCCACTAGGACCTCCAGATCCTTCTCCATCCTCGATTCCCCCAGAGGTTCATCCCCTAGCGTGTAGCTTGCATTCATATTTTTAGCCCCAAGTACATTACGCTACATTTTCCTACATGAAACCTCCTTTGTCATGTAGTTGTCCACACCTTTATTTTATTGAAGTCTTCCTGTAAAGTTTATATGTATCCTGTGGTGAAGGTTTTGAGCTTCTTACCTTTGTATTGTCAGCAAACATTGAGACTGAACTATTTATACTGACCTCTATATCATTTATGAACAAAATTGGACCCAGAACAGAGCCCTGGGGTACCCCACTTATAACTCAGACCTTTCAGAGGTACATTTATCACCACCCTTTGTACGCACCCCAGTAACCTGTTTTCTATCCGTGTACATACACTATTGTCAGCACCAACATGCCTCAATTTGTGGATTAAGCATTTATGGGTTATCGTGTCAGATGTTTTGGCAAAGTCTATATACATTACATCCATGGGGGTTCCATTATCCAGCCTACAGCTCACCTCCTCATAGATTGGTAATAGTTTGGTCTGGCAAGAACGATCTTTTTTCATAAATCCATGCTGGTTACTACTAATGATACTATTTTCATCAGCAAATTCTGGATATGGTCCGTTATCATCCCTCCAATAGTTTACAAACTATTGATGTTAGGCTGACTGGCTTGGAGATTCCAGGTAGGTATCAGCCCTTTCTTGGATACTGGTACCATGTTAGCTTTTCACCAATCTGCTGGCACCATTCCGGTCCATAAGCATTCCTAAAGATTAGGAATAAGTCTAACAATGACCTGGCTACATTCTTTGAAGACTCTCGATTGCAAGTTTATCTGGTCCTGGTGATTTGTTCACATTTAGTTTTTTTTTACTTTCTAGTCTTTTGTAAGGGACCACTACACTGACCACTGATAAAGGGGATCCCATTAGTCAATGATGTAAAGGACCACTACTCTGACCAATAATGTAAGGGAATGTTTTCTCCCATTGGTCACCAATGTAAGGGAACACTACACTTACCACTGATATAAAGGAGTCCTCCCCATTGGTCACCAATGTAAGAAACCACTACATTGATCACTGACCACTTATATAAGGGGTCCTTCTCCCATTTCCCATTGTCACCAATCAGCTCTGGGTTTAGTTGTCCAAGAGTAGGGATGAGACGACAGTACAAACCAAACTTTGCCTGTTCCGGTCCCGTGTTTTTCAGGAGCCGATCATCACATGTAAGAGACATTTCTACCACTTCTATATATAACAGCTTCCCGCTGTCACTGATGCCTGAGGAAGACATGGATGGGTACAGCGGCCACACCCCCAGGAATCAGTGATGTCATTGGGAATCCCTGTCATGTAAGGAAGGGGTTGGGATGATAACAGTGACCCCTTGTTATTAAAGGGGGTTTCCAGAATCCAATATGACCCCCACCCACAGATCCCCACAGCCACCAGCCAAGATGACAAGGTGCTATGCCTGGGGGAATCCCCCCTGGTAAGGTGACCCCCATGTTGTGGACAAGTGGCCTGGTATGGATCAGGAGGGGGGGCACACTACAGCCCCCCCTCTGCACTCTGTATGGTGGGCTGTATATGATATACTGCTGACCCCCGCACTCTGCGCCATTATTGAAGGGTGTGAGGTGTCACCGAGGAGCAATGTTCTATATTGAAGTTTGCCGTCATTGCACACACACATAGATTTGTTCAAAAAAAGTTTTATTATATAATTTTACATTTAACAAGATTGAAGCATGAAAATCAGGAAAAAGTAAAGGCAGAAATCCGATTGGTCAGGAAGATCCCTTGTCTGGAATGTGGGGGCGGAGTCATTATTATTGGTGTACAATACAATACACAACGTGTTCCATTATTATAACAAAGTATTGTAGAAAAGATCCCAACATAGAAAATGGGGGAAAGGAGGAAATAAAGGCGGATATGAAGGGGAATCTGTGTACGGGGAACACCTTAACAATCACCACCATTTTATTCTCCAGGGCCTCTGATGTCACAGAATAGATGTTTGGGGGTTTATCTCATCTTAACCACTTGAGCTCCTGAGGATTTACCCCCCTTAATGACCTCGCCTCTTTTTGCTACTCAGCACTGCAGTAATTCAACTGATAATTGCGCGGAGTCATGCAATGCTGCACCAAAATGAAAATTACGTCCTTTTTTTCACACAAATAGAGCTTTCTTTCGGTGGTATTTGATCATCTGTGCGCTTTTAATTTAATTTTTTCACACTATAAACAAAAAAAGGCCAAATATTTTGAAGAAAAACAATATTTTTTACTTTCAGCTACAAAAAATATATAGTAAACTCAAAGTTGGTTATAAATTTAGGCCAAAATGTATTCTGCTCCATGTTTTTGGTAAAGAAAATCCCAATAAGTGTATATTGATTGCTTTGTGTGGAAGTTATAGCGTCTACAAACTATGGTATAGATACTGCAATTTACACCATTTTTTCTGCTATACAGCGCTGTGCTAGTAAAACGGACAATTGCGCAGTCATGCAATAGTCATGCAATATGGTACATAAATGAAATTTACATCCTCTTTTTCCCCACATATTGAGCTTTCTTTTGGTGGTATTTGATTGCCTGTGCGGTTTTTTATTTTTTGCGCTATAAAAAAAAAAAGCTGACAATTTAGAGGAAAAAAAAAACAATATTTTGGACTTTTTGCTATAAAAAAAGTCCATTAAAAAAAATGCAAAAATCAAATTTAGTCATAAATTTCTGCCAAAATGCATTCTGCGACATGTCTTTGCTAAAAAAAAAAGCGAATTATGGCGGCGATCAGTGACTTATGGCAGGACTGCGGCGGACATTCTGACATTGGGGGGTACTGACTTGGGGTCACTGACATCCCCCAAAACACTACTACAGTGATCAGTGCAAAAAAAAAACAAAAAACACTGACACTGTACTAATGGCAATGGGGTGGAAGGAGTTAACTTTATTTTGCAGGGAAGGGTTATCTGAGTGAGGGGAGTGTTTTACTAGGGGGCGGGGGTGTGTGCTGCATGGTACACCACTGATCGAGAGAAACTCTTCTTTCTCGATCAGCTCGTCCTCGAGCTGTCAGGGAAATGACAGACAGCACAGCTACTGCAGCTGTGCTGTCTATCACTGTTTGCCGCCGATCGCCGGGAAACAGCCAGTAAGGACCGGCTGTGACCCAGCGACTGACATCCGCGGCGGTGATCGGCGGGATAGATAGGGCGGCGGCGCGCGCTTGCGCGCGCCCCCTATCTGTTTACAAAACACACACGTTTTTTATTAAAACGTGGTTTTGCCTGCCCCGTGCCGCCCTGCCGCTGTATTACTACAGTGGCAGGGCGGCAAGTGGTTAAGGAACAAAATCTGCATTTTCCCATGTGTGCAAAATAATGCAGAAACAGCTCTGGCAGTGAGAGGGTTAATGTGGGCTAGATGGGATCTCTCTGCTGGGGTGACATTAGAGCTCCCCCTAGCTGCAGCCTGGTGATAACATTGCTGAGAGGTCTATTCATTTCTCTGCTCCATACTTTCCGTCTTTATATAAACGTCTTCTGACATTTGGGGGTCTATTCATAAAGAATGTGTAGAACCATTCACCTGGTGAAAGTGCATGTCCATTCCTTAGCAGATCCGGAGAGGTAGGTGTGCATGGATGGGGTGTAGGTCAGTCCTTACCCTAGATGAAATCTCTCATACAGACACAATGGGACTCATGGGACTTTATAAAGAGGAACTCCAGAAAAAAACATATCAATAAAGATCTTCCAATGTTTTCTTCCGAATCAGCGTAGAAATCATACAACCCTCCCAGCAGGTGTACAAGGCCATGAAATCTCTCACAAAGTCCATCAATGGACAATTCCTGGACAACAATCACCGTGGGACAGAATTCTGAGCACAATAAGGAGGATCCAGCAACGTCATCCATCTCCACGCGTTTCGTGGTGCAGCGCTCACTTCTTCAGGAAAAATTATTCCTGCTGATCAGAGTATACACCAATAATAAAACAAAAAAGAAAGGACTTCACTGAGGAACATATCCCTCACTCAGGACATGAAAGTGGCTTCACCCCCATGTGACATCTCTGATGCCTGGAAAGATTGGACTTCTGTGAAAAACATTTCCCGCACTCAGGACAGGAAAGTGGCTTCTCCCCTGTGTGAGATCTCTGATGTCTGTAAAGATGGTACTTCTGAGAAAAGCATTTTCTGCACTCAGGACAGGAATACGGCTTCTCCCCCGGTGAGATCTCTGATGCTTGTAAAGATTGGACTTCACTGAAAAAGATTTCCCGCACTCAGGACAGGAATATGGCTTTTCCCCTGTGTGAGATTTTTGATGTTTGCAAAGATTGGACTTCACTGAAAAACATTTCCCGCACTCAGGACAGGAATATGGCTTTTCCCCCGTATGAGATCTCTGATGCATAGCAAGTCCTGATTTGTATACAAAACATTTCCCACACTCAGGACAGGAATACGGCTTTTCCCCCGTGTGACATCTCTGATGTTTGTAAAGATGGGACTTCCGTAAAAAGCATTCCCCACACTCAGGACAGGAATATGGCTTTTCCTCCGTGTGAGATCTTTGATGTCTGTTAAGATTGGAATTTAGTGAAAAACATTTCCCGCAGTCAGAACAGGAATATGGCTTTTCCCCTGTATGAGATTTCTGATGCGTAAAAGATTGCCCTTCTGTGAAAAACATTTTCCACACTCAGAACAGGAAAACCTCTTTTCTCTCCTGGACTATACTGTGTTTATGTCCTCACCTTCTACTTTCCAGTCTGGAGACAAAGTGAGACAATCCTCGGAGGTTTTCTCATCTCCCGGCCATGGACTAAAATACAAAGATAAAGAGGATTACTAGACAGAAGCCCCACCAGAGGTCAGAGAGTGAGGATGGGGGGAGAACAACCAAGATGAAGACTGGACTGATCCTGAAAACCACCATCATTGGGGTATTGACTCCTCCCTCATTATCACTTTCTGTTTAAGGGTCCAAAGTTGGAGGATGTTATCACATTATTATCACCATGTAAATGTCTGTGCTCCAATCACATCATCCGATATAAAATGTCCAGCTGGGAGGAAATGGGTGTAACAAAAGAGAATCCATATAATATGTGTAAATATAGCAGTGGGGGGAGGGAGGAAAGCAGAAGAGTATGTATAGTATATAGTGCAGGGTTAAGGAGTATGTAATATACAACATAGAGTATATAGTGCAGGGGTCAGGAGTATGTAATGTACAACATAGAGTATATAGTGCAGGGGTCAGGAGTATGTAATGTACAACATAGACTATATAGTGCAGGGGTCAGGAGTCTGTAATGTACAACATAGATTATATAGTGCAGGGGTCAGGAGTATGTAATGTACAACATAGAGTATATAGTGCAGGGGTCAGGAGTATGTAATGTACAACATAGTATATATAGTGCAGGGGTCAGGAGTATGTAATGTACAATATAAATTATACAGTGTAAGGGTCAGGATTAATAATATTAGTATTCATCCATCAGTGGAAGCTGTCTCCCATCTTCTGAGACTGCACTCGGTGACTTGGGTCTGAGACTATACAGACATTTCCCTCCACCCCAGAATGCAAGTGTACAATCCAATACGCACACGTTCCTGCATTAATAAATGGCTGTATATGTATAAGCGGGTGCTGCAGCAACTTTCGGCTGGAACTGAACAGAATCAGCGAGGGAGAATGTCACCAGCACACCGAGGATCACCAATATGGATCCAAAAGTTTTAATGAACGATCACATAGTTACAGCAAGGCAATGTTTCGGAGTCTTGCAGGACCCCTTCATGAGGCATGTGACGGAGGAGTCATGCGAGTCTCCAAAACATTGCCTTGCTGTAACTATGTGATCGTTCATTAAAACTTTTGGATCCATATTGGTGATGCCTCAGGTGTGCTGGTGACATTCTCCATTGCATATCCCTCCACCCAGAACAAGCCAGCAGAATTCAGAGCAAGTAACCCTGGGAGAATTGTTATGTCAGAGATATTGTTAGATTCAGGATATGGGGTAGAAGGCTCAAAGCACAGGCCCCAGGTGCCGAGGTTATGAAAATCAACATTTTGCTGCCAGCTGAACCCCAGAATCTCCATAAATCCAGTCTAGATACATAAATTGTGTCTGCAGCACAGAGAAGGAAGATTATCCGAGAGAAATCCAGGAATACAGGACGGGGAACACAGCTCAGGAAAGTGACCAGGGGATTACAGGCTGATATCACCCAGTCCCCGCCCTACTCTGGACCAATCAGTGAGCAGTATGGGTGGAGGAATGGATTTAGTGTTCATGACCCACCTGTGCTGATCTCTGTAGGAGTGTCCTCCTCTATAAATGTCCCCGTTATTCCATCCTCCTCCATAGACTGCTGATCATCCCTCACATACGCCTCTTCTTCTTCTGCTTTCACCTCAAATTCTATATTGTTTAAATCTCCACTCTAAATCAAGGAAATGAGAGAAAAATATCATCTGTAAAATATAAGATTTATTACTAAACATCAAAAAAAAATCAACACATTGTCTCCATGTGTCCATTTTTATAGGCTCCGTCCCACCAACCTTGTAATAATGAGGGATGGTGTGACCTTCCTGTGTGGAATCCCGTGAATACAGAGGACGGGGACATCTCTCTGGTGGGTTCCTGGAATTAGGTGGCTCCATCATATCCTTGTGTCCTTCTGAAAACTCCTCCATCACTCCATACTCCTCATCCTCCTCTTTATACTCTTCTTTAACAACAATATTATAATCCCCGAGGTTTCCACTCTGAAAGATATAATAAAACATTCATTGTAACAAACATGCTGTGTATAAATCACAACTACCAATAATTGTCATCATCTACCTGATGATGGTGAGGGATGGTGTGACCTTCCTGTGTGGAATCCCGGGAATACAGAGGACGGGGACATCTCTCTGGTGGGTTTCTGTAGCTGGATGACTTCACCATGGTGTCCTGGTACAGATCTTTGTGTTCCTTTAGAAAGTTTGACTTTTCCATCACCCCATCCTCATCCTCCTCCTCTTTTATCTCTTCTTTAACCTCAACTTTAGAATCTCTCAGGTTTCCACTCTGAATATAAAAATAAAAAAAATGCCATCAATGGTAACAATGCAGATAATGTACAGATCCTAATGATACTATCAGTGATTGTTCCTCATCTACCTGATGATGGTGAGGGATGGTGTGTGTGACCTTCCTGTGTGGAATCCCGGGAATACAGAGGACGGGGACATCTCTCTGGTGGGTTCCCATGACTGGATCCATCTGTAGGAAACACACACACTGACTGAATCCATTGTTTCTATGTGTTTATCAGATGATGGGGGATCTAGGTGGATCCTCCGTACTGCTCTCTCCTTTACAATAAAGTCTCCTCTTACCCGGTGATGATGTGAGGGGCGGCTGATTGTCCATCATGACGTCCTTGTAGAGATCCTTGTGTCCTTCTAAATACTCCCACTCCTCCATGGAGAAATAGACAGTGACACCCTGACACCTTATAGGAACCTGACACACACAATGATACAGTCACCATCCAGACACATCCCTTGTCTGTTACTGGAGAATGTCCCAGAATTCCCGGCACCGCTCACCTCTCCTGTCAGCAGCTCAGTGATCTCTCTGGTGACTTCTAGAATCTTCTTCTTCTTTCTCTCTTCTATCAGGGAGGGAGGTGGAGGCAATGTGATGTCATATGATCTCCAGACTTCACAGGAGGAAAACTCTACATCTGAACACAAATAGTCACATCAAATGATATTCCCAGAATCCTCCTCACCTCTCCATTCAGGTCTCCATTTTATTAAAGCCCCACTTCAGGCTGAGGTATAATTCCCCCCCACAGGACCCCCACACTACGCAGGGTATAGGCTTGTTGCAGCATTCTGATGTCATTACATACAACGCAGGACCAACAGTCCCACTTTACATGTGAGGATACCAAGGGACCCCACATCCTAAGAGGATCAGAAAAGTCAATGGATGGAGGGGATATGGTGAGGAGGAGTCATAGGATTCTGTGAGGTCAGTGTGATGTCATAGGACATATCTGACTCTGGATGGAGGGATATTTGGATGGGGAGATTGGAGGGGTCCTCTATATGAGGCTCCCATGCAATCCAAATCATTGTTCCTGGGTGTGTCCTAAATTTCCTATGGAACTGAAGAGTGAATTTTGACAAGGATAAGGAATAGGGGAGGAGGAGAGAGGGTCACTGCAGGTGTCCTGTGTAAGAGGATATGGAGGAAGATGAGGAGAGATCCATGGAGAAAGGTCAGGGCAAGCAACAGACGATCCAAAGAAGCCGGGGATGAAAATCTCCAAGACACAGGAGGACGAGGAATAGCAAGAAGGAGCTGAGAGACAAATGAGAATATTGCTCAGCCAATGGGAGATGATCTCAGCATGACTTCCATCATGAAGGAGATGAGGGGGAGGGGAGGAAGTCACTGAAGGTGACCATAGATCCATGGAAATTCAGCTGGTTCAGCAGGGATCGCTCACATTTCCATCCATGTGTGGCCACTGCCGGATAAAAGCCACTCCCCCAGCGGCTGCAGCCAATAGCTTCAGTGCTGATCTGTGTATTCTGAGAGCAGAGGAGTCCCCCCATTGTCAGAATACAAGAGTGCAGCGGGGAGGATTCCCCCATCCACCTCCAATGTGTGGACTTCACTTCATTTTTTATGCTCATCCCGCTGGCTGAACGATAAAACTGAACCATGTAGCCAGCTTTGGGGGCAAGATATATTATCAAACTCCTCCCCCTGAAGGGGTTAATCTACGTATTACCTCCTCTGCTGCCAGATCCAGGAATGTCGACTCTACTTCCTCCTTCATTCACCTCTCCCCAGGAACTTCCTGTCTGTACCTGACATCACTTCCTGTCTGTACCTGACATCACTTCCTGTCTGTCTTCCATAGAGACTTCCTGTCTGGGTAGAAGTGAGATCCCCACCTTGTGGAGCTCAGAGGAACTGCAGCCCCGAGAAGCGTCTGGTAGTGTGACCCCGGCCTTGTGCTGGGTGTGTATGGACTGTAGATCCTTATAGAGGGGTCACCTCCACTCCCACCAAGGGGGACAGAAATATATGACTCCTCGGGGGAGGGGTTTTGGCCCCTTTGATTTTGCAGTAACATTGATTGCAGATTTAGTCCTGTAGAACATCTGGTATATGGATACAAAGCCCCCCAGCTGGGAGTAAAGGGTGGAAATGGCTGGTGACCCCCAGATTTGGGCAATGATGTCATCACTATAAATGGATAAAACCCGCGCTATGTGTAACAACTCCAAACCTACAAAAACCTTCTAGCGGACTGCTGCTGTAACAAAGGGAAGGATTCCCTGTCATCTAGAAGAGCATTATGTGTCACAGCGCTGTCCTATTGTGTGTGCACAGAAATCATCACAAATACACTACAAATATGTGGAGACATTCAGAGATAAAGAGCTCGGGGCTCCAAATCCTATTCTCTGCACATCCACTGCTTCCACTTTACACCCACTTCATTGGTCTTATGGGGTTTATCAATAAATGAAGGAAACTGAACCGTGTGCAAATCCATCCACAACATAAAGTGCTTTGTGCTCAAGATGCTGCTCCCTGCGCGCTGCTGACTCCATGCAGACTTCCACAAGTTCTCTGGTGTGGGCTTTCTTCAACACATGTGCAGCATTGATGTTTGCAGTCTTTGACTGAAGCAGACCAAGCGTGGCCAAAACACCAGCCACTTGGGCACCACATGA